TGAATGTAGATTCTACAGAATGCTTGATGAGTTTTTATTTTAGGCATTTGACGGCTTATTATAATTTCTCCACAACTAATTTCACGGATTGGTGGATGGTGCTGCTGATAGCCAATACCAACACCGCGAACCAAATATGGTTGGGCGCACCTCAGAGGCTGGGATTGCATGCCTATTCGTGACTTGATCGTCATCCCTGGGTGCCACAGCGTGCCGGCGATAAGGTTGAGACCCTGTACGAAACAACTTGTGTTGATCTTGGATGGGGTCCATGGGAATTGTTCCATGGTGGAAAAATCTGCTGGCCAGGTATTAGTTATTCCCTCTTGGAACGCCGAGTGAAGTGATCCTGCGGTGTAGTTCAGCAGAATGGCGGTCCTTCTGTCGCAAGGTAGAAACTTCATCTTCACGCAAATTCTGCGGAACGAACTCAGCCAGTATCCTGGAAGTTTGTTTTCGGCTTTTCCGTGGGCTGCTGTTTGATAATAAGACGATTTGTTGGTCCAGCGATGAGAATCGTAAGAGAACGTTTTCTAGGAAAAGAGTTTATTTTGTTGTTAGCTCATAGTTAATAGAGGAAAATGGTTATGAAGCCCGCAAACATCAAAGCAGCAAACAAAAATGCCAAAATTATGTTGGAAGGTCGTGACCGTGCACAATCGTTTGTTTTGCATTAATAATGAATTACGTAACCAAAACGTTTCTATTGGTTAGTTCCTAGGTCAGTAGTAAACAGCTACTGTGTTTTGTGCACGGTCAAGGCCAAAAAAGAGAACAAAAACATACAACAAAGAACTTTGTCGAGTTTCATAACCATTCCCCTCTATTAAGTATGGTTAGCTAGAGTTTTTTAAACGCTGGCCTAATAGTCAATGTTCTATATTCTGTATTGAGTAGTTTTTGGTTCGAACCCAACTATGCTTGTGTTTTTAAGGAATTCGAGGCCCTGGGATAACCCTGCAATTAACTTGCAGCCTATCCGGAGTAGGCTAGAAATATGCCTCTGAATTGCTTCTTGTTAACGAAGACCCAAATTGCTACAGCGGCATTACCCTGATTACCCGTAATTGGGAGAAATACAGTAACAGCAGTAACCCTGTCAGGAGAGCAAACAGCAGAATTTATGGGGTTTTTTTGTCATGCTGACTACATGAACAGACACTTATTTGGATATTTCGCAGAATTCGATTAAAGCTGATAATGAAATATCGTACCCTTGAACCATTTATACTCATCACGAGTGTCCAGGCTCCATCTCCACATCCGGAAATGGCATTCATTTTACACCATGTCTTCCATGTGATGTTACCGACTGTTATGTTGTAGAGACCATTTTGGCTTGAGCTGAGATGAAAGGAAAAGGTTTATGAGTTGTTTTCGAAGTCCCTAACTTTTTTCTTTCTTTCCTTTTTTTTTTTTCGTCTTTGAATTGTCGGGCACATTAAGATCGCCTTGATTGTTATGGGTAATTGAATGAATGGGAGTGCAATTAAGCATTGATATTTGAAAATTCTTTCATATAAATACTCGCGTAAAGGGCTCGTACAATGTTTCTGGTCATCACCCCGCTGTTGTAAAAGATGACTTACTGTGGCTATGAATAAACTCACCTATTTTGTCGTAGAATGCTGCTACAGGAAGACTTCTTAATTATGTTTCCTGTTGCTTTTGGAGGAAGGGAATATCCCTCATTGTTATCGACGTCATCGTCTTCGTCATCTTCATCTTCGTCTTTACTATTGTCTTCGCCAGAGGTGCAGCCTCCATTAATCAGCCTCGGATTAATGCATACCTTAAGGGAGAACAACTTTATGGCTCAGTAATTGTTGGCCGCTTAAGGTTCATAGCTCACTGATGACTGAAAATACGAAATTCATAGAAGTTCACGAAGGTTTTTTTAGAGTAAATGATCCTAAATCTAGAAAACTGTTTTCCTCCGTTTCTTTAAGAAACAGATGTGCTTTTCAAAATAATCTTAGTAGGGCGTCAAGCATGAGATAAAGTGATTCATTACATCTCCAAACGCCGAGAAAAGGGTTGAAAATACGACGCCCAGAGGATCCTTGATGTACTCCAGAGCTGTTTGGGAAAGTGATGAAACGTGTTTTATGTATCTTCTCGATCGAAACTAAAACGGAGAAAACAGAGAAATTCAAACAAAATTTAAGACTTGGTTTTGATTTTGTTTAACTTGATGAATTACTAACGAGTTTGAGATGGTGCTCGTGTGCATACGTATATCTTCCCAGTGTTAAAGATTATACTAATGTGGTGCTCACCTTTTCAGTCACTGAATGAAAACCCAATGTGAGACCATTCTTATTAAAGCTATTCGGCAGTATTTTAGAGCGTTGTTTTCAGTTTTCAAGCTTGCAAGATGAATGTGGCAATTTTTCTTCAATTTTGGACTTAGAATCGGTAAACCTTGATTTGGACCTCTGTCGCTCCAGTGGCAATGCCAAGTTTAGTCCCGACCTGGAAGTTGTGAAACAGCCACATATGCTGCTTGAACAACAATTTTTGCTGTCTTTTTTGCGCAAGTAATGATATTATATCACTTCTTTTGGACTGGGTGACAAAGGCAGAAATACGGTCATATACAGCATTTGATGCCAAATATCGGCCTCCATATGTAATTTCCGTTTCGCGATGGAAGATTGTGATAGCAATTTTTATATGTATATTCAAGTGACAGCACCAGTGAACTGTGCAAACCTGTGCAGTGAACTGTGCAAACTGTGCAGATTAATGACTATTTATTTAAACAAAGATCATTTTATAGCCTATGATCGTTAAAGGAAATTAGTGGGAATTTGTCTTTGTTTCCTTTTTAAACGGCAATTGAGAAGAAAGATGGCAGACAAGGAAATCGCTTACGGAAATACGTAAAAAGAAACTTAACAGCGACAACCGTTTTTAAAAAATAACATGATTATGAGAATAATAGATGAATATTTCTCGATAAACTTCCATTTGCAACGCTATGTGCTTGAATGGGATTTAAATACAACAAAGAATGTCAGAGGATTTCAGCGCATCTGATTTTTCTCCATCACTCCATATTTGATTGCTGATTGTCAGTAAGATTGACAGTGAGATAAGAGACACGAAAACTGATTGTTGCAGTTGTCAGCCATCATTGTTTTCCTCAAAGAGCGATTTGGCTGTGTTTAACATTGATAAAAACGTAAAAAAAAAGAATAACATTTTAAACAGGAACTCTGTATGAAAAAGATCATCTAAGTTAATAAAACTCATGGCGATAAAGAAAGACTACCTTAACTTTATTTCTTACCTTCTTCATTGTCACAATTTTTGATCTTGTGTTATCGTTGTCATTCGAGTAAAGCTCAGTGGAACCTTTCCCCTTGTTTTGATACAAAAAGCATTTCTTAGCATTTCTGTAAAACGTCGCTTCGTCGCAATTTCCTTTTGTGCTGCATCGTAAGGCGCAAGTTAGCTCAGTTTCGGCTTTGAACTCAGCAATTTTGTCAGATTCTTCGTTTTCTTGTTTCTGGTGCGAAAATTTGAAGTATGAAGAATAGAGTTTATGCAGTTGAACGCAAGAAACAAAAGTAAGAAAAGTCACCGTGATGGCAATGCGGACAGTCACGGCCATGTTTCAAGGCGAATGAAGTGTTTATTTACATGACTTGGGCCCAATCTCATCAGCATATAGCTGACATTTCTTCCATCTAATGCGCGCTCTCATTGGTTGATTTTTGGTCACGTGGTAATCACAAGTCTCGTTAAGGCCATAAGTCTCATTATTACATCGCTGATATTTCTTCCATCTAATGCACGCTCTCATTGGTTATTTCTTGGTCACGTGATAGACACCAAATTAGACTGACGTGCAGAAATCAGGATTAAGCGGCTATGTTATAATTTTGATTTGTTCGTAAGTCGAAGGACTAGAAGTAGCCGGAGGTTATTCGGAGACCTTTTCTTTACGTTTTAATTGTGGTTCACACTACTTAGCACTACTCACAACACTGGTACGGCTACTTACGCTATTTACAATTTATTCGGGAAAACCTGGTAAATTATCAGAAATCTTCGAATTACACTGATTCGGAAAAGTTCATTTTGTTGTTAGTAAAGGCGCAAGTGTAAGTGTCTAATTGGAATTTCCTATTTATTCACTCTTACAGGCCAAGTTATTACAACAAACATTTTAAATAACGTCGTCGCAAAACAAAAAAATCGTTATGCGAAGGGTAGAATGTTACAGAGCCATTCTTCGAAAAGGTCTGTTAGAACAAAAGTGTTGTGAATTGTTGTGCATACCTTAGGGAGGAAAAATTCGCAGCATAGATACCAAATTGTATTTTACAAAAATTTTATGACCCCCGAGCAGACTTGCTGGGAAGAAAAAAGATTCCATTGTTCGCCTAAAAAGCGTACTCGTATTAGGCTAAATTAAATCAATGCACTGCGCCATTACTGAATGTATATTTCACAAAAAGCTGGAGTTACCCTTGGCCCATCATTATCATCACCTAAATATATATCGCCACACGTTATGTTATCTGGAAAACCCATCGACAAACCAAATCCCACGCCACGAGCAAAAAACGGAGATGGATAAGGACATCTTGATTCGTTAGAAGACACACCGATTCGTGCTTTGACTATGGTCATGTTATGTGACGCTATCACGTTGAGGCCTTTCTCCAGACAGGAATCATCGAGAGTGGTTGGAATCCATGGAAACCCTGTTTCTAGGAAGAAATCTTGCGTGATGGCTTGGTTGTTTCCCTGTTGCAAGACTGAATGAAGTGAAGGAGCCGTGTGGTTGAGTACCAGGGTCGTACTTGCTGCATTAAACCTCAAATGGATGCCGATTTTGTTGAATGGGCTCAGCCAGTAGCCCGGGAGAATCGTTCGTCGTCGTTTAGTTACCGTTGCTGTCTTGCTCCATGCAGTGGAATTATACCTGAATGTGCCCTGAAACGAAATTAAAATCAAAATGGATTGCACCACGGGTCAACTTAAGCTTAAACGATAACTATAAAGGGAAGTGTTAAGTCTGTTTCTAATGACTCGAACTGAAGGTGATTTCTCCGAATTGCATGGCGCATCCCCACTGCGCACGATCTTCGCGTTATCAGCGCGCAGACGAACGTGTGCTCAAACTCAAATCTTTACTCCGGGGTGCAAATTTATGGCCTCGAAAATAACGACTCGAGGAACGTTTTGAGTCGATATCGCTTAAAATTGTGTGACTGTTCCATAAATTTTATATTGTTCCCTATGCTTACGACTTTCTACCTAATAAGTTTTTTCTCCAGTATTTTTTTAAAAAAAAATTGCTACCAGCTACCTCAAAATGTAATGTGAACTGATGAAATAACGCACGTGATTAAGCATAAATGTGGTAAGATGGGACCATAATATCTTTTTTTCGAACATGGTGACCTACCTTTTTTATTATATTTTTCCAGAAAGTGCTTGGTAGGGAACATTTACGGAAAGTTTCAAAAAAATCGTTGAACAACATTTACTTCTGACCGAGGAATCCCCTTAATAAGGCCGATGTCGAACTCCACTTTCTTTAGCGTATCAAAAGCATCTAGGAGTCAGTTCTACTTTCCCGGGATGGGATGCTAGTCCATTACACCCAGACAGCATTAAGTCAGGGTTCCGTGACAATTACATGTTGAGCAAACCAATCTATCATAATTAGGGTTCGCACGCACCTTAAAGTCCTTGAAAGTCCTTGAATTTCGAAATCAAAATTCAAGGACATTGCAATTGGGTCCTTAAAAATCTTGAAAGAGCTCGACGAAACAATTGCCCACTTACTGGAAGAACTAAAAAGGACTTAAACTTAAACAAATTTAACAGGTTTCCCTTAACCAAGACGTCTAGTGTCACATTAGATTTAATGGTATTTTTTTAGTGGATGGAGTCCTTGAAAAATTGGAATTGTGTACTGGAATTTCCTTGCATTTTTTGTCCAAAAAAAGGGTCCGAACCCGTTTAAAAAATGAGTAATTGTAGTCAGAAGAGGACATTGTAAGCTAGTGGTTTGTCGCTGACAGTTTTTAAAGGAGCTACGTCACGGTCTGAGCGTCTTGAAAAGTTTAGCCTAGATTTTTCAAGTTCGTCGTTTGTGATCCGTGTTAATCTTCTCCATCTTTAACCATTCTTGTTCCTTTATGGTTTATTTTTATCCTTTTGATGTTTTTCTCTCTTAGTAAATAACTAGTTTCAAGTTTCCTTCAATTTCAAGGTAATTTTGAACGTTGCCAAAGTAACTCGAAGTACCATGACTGAGCTCCCTAGACGTTCTTCAAGACGTTTCGGCTAGTGCCATCTTGAAGTAACATCGACAAACTAGTAACAGACAGAGTTAAAACCCTGTCTGTTGATTTAACGTTAGTATTCTAGTACCTGTGAGCCATTCACTCTCATAACTAGTGTCCAAGCTCCCCCGCCACATCTGTTAATACCTTTCATTTGACAGTTCGTTGTCCACGTTATACTGCCATCTGTCAGGTTATACAAGCCGCTCGGCTTTGAGCTATATAATAAGGAAAAAAATACGTTACTAAATATAAATTTATAATGTAATCAGAATCAAATACGAGATACCGTGTTTGACCACATTTCTAAACACCGGGAAGAGAGTTGAAAATGCGACGCGTAGCGAAGTATTTTTGACGAAGTTCGATATGTTTGGCAATGTGGCCAAATATTGTCTTGAGTGTTTGATATGTCTTGTCAATCGAAACTAAAATTAAGGACAAAACGGAGAAANGGGTTGGGTATGGATATTTTCTGGAATTACACAATTTATATGGTTATAGGATTAACTTAACTGCGGGAATTGTGAATGCTTCACTTATGAGCTCCATTATGCTATTCTGTGATTGTCAAAGAACTAGATCTTACACTTCAGTCCAGTTCAGTCAAAACGTACCCTTGCTATCAAATCGAAATGTATACGGCTTTCCATCAACTTTAAGAAATAGACGTTTTTGCTTAAGTGTAATAAAGAGCAGCGCGTGCCACGATTTGCATTATGGTTATGGCAATTTTTCAATCTAACGAGGGATTTGGTGAATTAAATTTCCCTGCGATATTCCGCTTCCGAGGTAACTGAAAAAAAACTGATTAGAAATCAACACTGCCTTTGCAAAACTAATCTGAACAGCAAACTTTCTGAAGAAAAAGATTAGTGGTTGCAATTTCCTTGCAATAAAGAACAATTGACTTCCCGTGCTAAAGTAGACAAATATTGGGTTCAAAGTATAAGCAGCAACCGTATATGAACTTCGGTGATGTTCATTCAATTAACTTCCCTCTGTTATAAGCTTGGTTTATTATTTAAATAAAATCCTCAAGCTGCCAAATGCTTTGTTTGAGGAATAATTCTCACTCGGTAGAAATTATCGAGTTAAGCTTTAATTTTTTTCCCTTACCTTTCGTATTAAATTTTTCATCAAAATGAAGGTGACTTTTAAGGGAGACCATAAGAGTTTTCCTCTGACAATATTTAAGAGAGTAGAAACCCTTTTCACTGTGTTCGATAACAATTAATTTCCAGATTTGCGAAAGCAATATTTTGCAAAGATAGTTCCAATTGTTCGAAATCAGGAGCTTGTGTTAGTTTGAATATTTGTGAGACAAAAAGCCGTTAGCTGCCGTTGCTGTACCCTTACTGTTCAGGAAAACGTGCATGGCAAATTAAGATAAAAACCTAACGTTTTTTATCGTGGTTTAACTTACCTTTTTTATCCTAATGTATCCGGTTCTAGCCTCTTGAGATTCCGTCTGGAATTCCGTTAAAATCGTTTCCTTTGCGTTATATAAGGAACAACTCCTAGCAGCTTTGAAAAGCACAGCATCTGTACACGCTCTATAATGACAACATCGTGAAGCGCAGGCGAGTTCGCTATCAGCTTTAAACGTGCCAATACCTTCAACAGTGGGAGGGGTTTTTAGGAACGATAATATAAAATACGAAGAGCAGTTATGTCCAAAATAATCGAAAGACGTGATCGCAGGAGTAACCGCAACGAGGAGGATAAGTGAGAGCATATCGAGATCGTTCTGTTTTGCTTTAGATGAACTGTTTGTTAGTTTTTCCTCGGTGGGCTTCAAAGTATGAATGACACGGTGAGTCAAATTAAATTTTCTGCTTGTTGCTATTATGGACCTCTGACAGATTTTGTCAAACTCTGTCATTTATTTCCGCAAATCAAGTCAAGTTACCTCTATTTCACGCTTTTCTCCTATTTTTGTCTCAATCATGATCTCGAAAATCAAAACCAACAAGTCTTCATTGAAGAAAATCTGACTTTTTTAAAATGCACTGCTTACGTTTTTAAGTTTGGCAAATTTTGAACAAGCTGTCTTTCAATACGAAACTCCTTTCCGACAACAACTTTTTTTATTCAATTTAAGTTCAATTTTAATTCTATGCATTTGGGGTCCATTTGCAATTTTGACCAAATACACTTCAGAGAAATAATACTTATCTTTATACAATGCTTACAAACGAGCTGTATCTGCGACAAGTCTGTGTGCTTTCAACCTCGGCTGAACAAGCTTTTGTTGACAAGGTTGATTTAAGCGTATGAACGGCAAACTATCAGCAGCTGGTGTGCTAGATTTTGAATAAGGAAAGTTGTCACACCCGTCGCGAAAGCTTCCAAGCAGCGAAAACTGTTCGTGCGTAATCATTGGGCTTTTCCGGCAACAAGGACAGAGCTTGTTATGAAAAACGTACAACCTTTGCCTTGCTTACAAATTCGGAGTTATAAAACCACATGAAAGAGGGAAATTTGCATGTGGTGTGGACCCACATAGACACCTGGACACATATACTGAAAATCAGAAAATCAGAAAATCTGTCGTTCCTAAATTGTGGTCAGGTTGCAAAATTCGCCGAAGGCGTATATTGTTTTTTTTTTTCTGCACATCTTCAGCTTAGTGAGATGATAGAGGTTTCAACACTGACAAAGCTTATCAGGAAACACAAGTTTTCAAAATAGCCGTGTAGTGTTTAGGTAATACTATATAAATAGATCAGCATCATGCATTAGGCTAGAATCCAGGGGGGGGGGGGGGTGACTCCGATATGAAAATGACGGGGTGCTCGTCGTACCTTTTAGGGGTCACGGTTCAGCCTCAAAAAGTCCACAGTGGGAGCTTTTGCGGTACCTTTTGTGGTACTGAGCCGAAAACATATTACAGGAGATAATGTGTTATGTAAGAATTGGTACCTCTTAGGGGAGAAAAAAATTTCAGGCCACTCCCACAAAACAGGATCTTGGTATCACTAAGGGTTTCTTTTCAAAATTTCCGGGGAGCACCCCTGTCTTTTTTATATGGGAGTCCCCCCTCCGGGGCTAGAATGCAATCCCAGGGGAGCTGTAATACTGCTAGCCGCTTCAGGCTGCAATAATCGTTGGCTGGAGCTCATTAGGAAAACAAAGTTAAAACTTTAGAAAGATGGTACTCGTTACGAAAGAGAGAAGCAGTCCCTGGGAGATTGGACTCTTTAACCGAGAAGCAAAC